AGGGGAAGGGACCCCCATACCTGTTCCCAGCCCTTCCATGCCTGGGATGTCGTCACCGAACCTGCAGGGAGAGAGGGAGTGTCTGGCCTGACCCCCAGGCAGCCCCCCCACCACCCCAGGGCCTGTCCCCACTCACCCCTGCACCCCCTTTTTGGGGGGTTTGCTTTTGAACTGCCTCGTCTGCCTCTGCTTGAACTTGGGGGGTCCTTTGCGGGGGGTGGCGGGACCCCCGGTCACCCTCGTGGCCGATTTCACCTCCAGCTTGGGGGGCTCCAGGCTCATGGCTCTGGGGGGGGCTGGCAGCCAGCCCCAGCTCACGGCGTTCCCTGCGGATCCGGCGCTGGCACGGGACAGCTGCTTGCACCTGCTGGAGGGGGAATGGGGGGCACCAGCTTCTCCTGCCACCCTGTGCCCCCATTCCCACCCTGTGCCCCCATTCCCACCATTCTCCCTGATTGGCTCTGAGGAGCCCCCTCCCCTCAACACTGCCTCAGCCCAGCTCATCCCGCTAATCCCCTTTCTCCAAAGGCAGAGAAGGGTGTCCTGGGGGGGCACTAGACCTGCTGCCACCCACTGGGGTTGTTCCTTCTTCCCGTGCACCACATTCCAGCATGGATTTGACACCTGAGACCACCCATGGCACTGCCAGGACTCCCTCCCCACAGCTCACCCCGGGGTCTGTGCCGTGGTGGGCAGCAGTGTGGTTTAGGGGTGATGGGCACCCCAGGCTGGGCAGGGGGAGCAGAGGATGGCCCACGGGCTCCATCCCCCCTCCAGGCACCAGGAGCAGGAATTCTGCAGCACAGGACTTGGCTCTGGCACAAGGGGTTCAGCCCCACTGCAGAGCTCAGGAGCTGGGCACAGGCCTGGGAAGAAGGATCTGACCCAAGGAGATGCCCGGATGTTCCTGAATGATATTCCTGAATGCAGGAATAGCAGCAAAGCAACCCCGTGTCCCATCCCTTCCCAGGAACCCCTGACTCACACAGTCCCACGGTTCCCGAGGCCAGAGGTGCTCCCTCCGTCCCACAGCCCGGAGATGCTCTGGGGGGCTTTTCGGGAGGGAGATTTATCCTGCCCGGGGGTAATAGGATTATTTAGCTCCCTTCTCTCCCAAGGGGTAATCCGGTGTCCTTCCCCCGCCCTGGGTGGGGAGGGGGTGTTGGGATTAGTGCCGGTGGGACAGGCTGTGCCCAGCCGGGCAGCAGATCCCACACAGGGCGATCCCACCTCCTCCCCTGGGGGATCCCCCATTCCCCAAGAGATTCCCTCAGCGCCCCTCGCTCCCAGCAGGAGGGATGGGACCCCCATCCCAGTCTCCCTCCTGGTCCAGGTGGGGGTCCTGGCACAGGGGGTGCCCTCCCAGCACCATCCCTGCTGGTGCCCCCACAGGACACAATCCGGCTGGAGAGGGTCCGGCAGCCCCTGCCCACGGCCGGTGTCGCTCCAAAGCTTCCCTAATCCAGCACTAAAGCAATTAAAAACGGAATAATCTCAGCACACTTTAATTGAACTTCAGCCCCCGCCACTAACTGCAATTAGTTGGGCTCCAGCAAATAGGATTAGAGGGGATCCAGGAGTGTTTTCCATGGAGAACAAGCTACTTCCGTGGCAGAGAGCAGGGCCTGGCTGTTAATTTGGGTTCATTAGCGGGCGACACTCAAGGGCTTGGTGGGTCCTTGGGGAGCTCATCCTGGGATGATGGGGGGGTCCGTGGGGGTCCTGATGGCTGTGAGTCCCTCAGGATGGAGGGGAGGGGTGCTGTGCCAAGTTTAGGGGTTTTAAGACAGAGGCAGAAGGAATCAAGGAAGAAAAGGCACCGTGGAGAGCAGGATGTGACACCAGGGACAGGGAAAGTGTCCTTGACATGAGGCTGCTGCTTCCCACGTGCTCGGGGCCACACGCTGCCTCTCACGGGCCCTTCCCATGGAGAAGCCCCTAAGAGGCTTATGGGGAAGGGTCCAGCACAGCCCTCCCCCACCAGGGCACGGCCAAGGTGCTTAAAATCCCCTCAAGGTGCTTAAATTCCATCCAGGAGCGTGAGGAGGAGGAGGGCTGGGTATGAGGGGCCACCCAGCCTGCCCTTGGCAGGGATTTGCCATCGGGGGGGGGGAACAGCATCCAGCTCCTGGGAAATCCAGGGCTCAGGACAGGCCTGAGCTGCTGCCTGTCCCCAAGGGCAGGATCCTCTGTGGCGGGAGGTGACACGGCCTGGAGTGACACCCCTGGGATCCCTTGCTCAGCACACACCAACAAACACTATAAATGATCCCAGACCAGACCCCTCCACACAGCCTGGAACAGCGGCCCTGGGGCTGTCCCCTGCCGCTTTGGGGGACCTGGGGGGGCTCAGTCCTTCTTGGAGCGCAGCCTGATCTCCATCCTGAGGATCATTTTGATGTTTTCGTCCTCCACGTGCTGCTCCACAGCCTCCAGGGCCCGGGCTCCCCCATCCCGGTGCCGCTCCAGCAGCTCCTCCACGTACCCCACCCACACA